AGGAGACAACGTACCAAACTAAATAGTAAGGGGCTGATCTGGATCTTCTCCATCCCTTCTGTCTTGCTCAAACTTCGACCTCCCAGAAGAAGTCTCTGGCAATTCTTCCATAGGTTCGCCTGTACCAGCCTCTTCACTATTTTTTAGAACATTCTGATTGGCTGTCTTGAGTAGTCTAGGTGCCTTAGGACGCAGCATTCCCTGTTGTTGCCTCATCATTCACCCGTAGTTCCATTGAAAATTCCTTTGTTGGGTTCTTGTCATCTCGTTGAAAGGTATCGCCCTTCCAGCCTTATACTGGAACAAATGCCATACATTTGGTTGGAGAGGTTACGGTCTGAATGTTCTCCCATTACTTACTGGCCTGAACTGCCTCTCAAAAGGCGGTCCCTTATAGAACGATGTACCCCACCCTCTACCAGGCTGAGCGTTTGGGGAAAACTAGGGCGATAGTGATGCTGCCATATCCCTAGTTTCTCTGCATTTGCACTCACTTCTTTTTTGCATCTTGCACATAGGACGTCTTCGTCCTTTTTGGGCTCCTTCCCTTTGATACGTTCAAAGACACTGGGATGTGGTCTAGGGTCTTCTTCTCCATCATCTATAACCAACTTGAATTTTGGCAACTTGTTTTTGAAACCAGACATCACCATGTTCACTCCAAGTGACTGTGGAAAAGGATTTTCATCCACTGCCATCTTCCTCTTATCCTCGAACGTAATTCGTCCTTTTTCAATGGCATCCTGTAACACATGATGAAAAATCAAACAGTTGTTAGTCAAATGTGACCATGCATTATGCCACTTACAATATTTTTTGCCCTTAATTTATTCAGGACTTGGCAATTTATGCTTATCGCTCAGCTTTATCTGCTTATTCTTATACAATTTATCAAATATAAGGTCAGCTTTGGTTACATCAAACGAAAACGTCCTAACCTTTATGTTTTCATCTTTTATAGACTCATCCTTGCCCAAGAGTCTAGACTTAGTCATTATAGGACAAGTATACGTGTCTCCTTTAACTAATTCGGCCAAACACATTTCGGTTTGATCGTAATACTCGTCATTAATGGTATGAACATCAAAATTTGGATCTCTATAATAAGTCCCCTTGCTAGAATTTTTCATTTGTTCTTCTTCTCTTATTAATCGTTCATACCTAGTCACGTTCGCGCTCAATTGGAAAAGATCAGGAAGTTCCTTGTCTTGAAACTTCTTCTTCAAACCAAAGCTTAGACAACCTTGAGCGATTTTGACAAACTCATTTTCAGGTAGAGATACAAAACATTTACTTCTTACTGTCTTGAACCTTTGAAGGAAACCTTCTGCCCATTCGTTTGACATTTGACGTAGATTCGCCAAATCAGCCAAAGTAACTTCAGAATCAGTCTTATAAAACTGAGCGTAGAACAATTGCTCCAATTGTTGCCATGTTTGAACAGAGTTTGCTGACAAATTGACGAACCAGGAGAAGGCTACTCCTGTTAATGAATTAGGGAACAATCTCATTTTATGATAATCAGTTACGTCACCACTTTGCAGTGTGAATCGCCCTATGTGTTCTAGAGTAGACACCTCTTCTAAACCGATAAACAATGAGAATTCTGGCACTTTGTACTCTCTAGGCCATGGATATGCTTGGTCTACCCAATCAGGATATGGCTCTGTGTAAGCCGACCTAATGACAGGACGTGCTCCAAAAGCCATTTAGTCCTGTACAATTTCCATAATTTGATTCCTCAACATGACGTTGGGGTCATATGAAATTCCTACAGGTTGGTTGACCGGTTGATTTGCTTGAGGCCTGATGTTTGGTCCTTGATTGGCAACAAAGTTACCATGATTTTAGCCATTGTTACCATTAGCCTGAACATTTATTTCATCATTAACACGTGGGGTATTCTGTCCATTATTTAGGACATTATCTCTTACATTTAGGTTACCCCCCAAGTTAGATGTACCAATGCCATTATTCTGATTTGGTATTACACCACTCCCCTGGTTTGAAGTAAAGGGATCAAAAGGTGGTTCTACCCCTTGATTTGAACTTAGGACTGTGGGATTATGTCCCACAATTGTCCTAGTTTGAAAGTGGTTTGCAAGAGGCACAAATGGCTGACAAATTTGGCTACTAACTTATTCATTATTTCGTTCAAAGTATTCAATTGTTTGGCCATGTTGTCATAATGTGCATTCCCATTCTCGGTAAATCTTTCCATATTATGAATATTTCGTAGATTTACCTGTTCAACGACATCTTGTGTGAGTTCTCCGAGTAATGCACGCATGGTTCGAGGACTCAACTCTGTCATTGGTTCGTAACGACTGTGATTGCGCTGATCCTGTCCATCTGTTCGTGGAGACCTATGCTGCCCCTCATATCGCTCGATTATAGACTAGACTCCTCCCTGGTTTGCTGCTTCCTTATCGAATTTCTGAGGCATATTGTTTCACCTTTTGTATCTTCAACACCAAACACCAAGGTCCCACTGGGCGTGCCAAATTGTTTCGCACGGGTTGTCGCTAACAATTAAAAAGGGATTAGACGATTGTATAAGGAACAAACCTCTTGAGACAAAGTCCCAAAAAGGGGTATTTTATTGGCGATGACTTTAGAATTGGAACTTAAACAGAATGCCTCCAAGGGGTGCAAGCACGCGAGTACTGAAAAGAAATGTTTTAAGTCTAAACTAAGGAATTGAAATTACATATTCTCTATTTGAGAGTGTTTGATTCGGGGTCCTTTGCTCTATGTCTTTTCTTCCTTTTATGTTCCCTTGATGATCTCTTCGTGACCAACCGCTTAATTGCTTTATAACTGCCCACTTTCTTCATGGTGGCCAACTTATCGTGGAACTACCGTCACTAACTACTGCCACTACTCTTTGTCGTTCAACCGTCTTCAACTGAACATCCTTGAATCATGGAACGTGATAAGATTACTTAATAACTGCTTCGATAACTGCACTTTTGGATAACCATAACATCTTATGTTTGCTAAGATCCTAAGCGATTCGAAGGTTTGGGCGAGAACAGGGTCATAACTCTGGGCGACTGCAAGGTCCTTCATTCGCTCAGATCTTGGGCGTCTTGCAAGTTTGAGCGATGGTGTTACCGCGTTCGTGGGCTTCCACTGCATTCATTGATAACCCTATTCGGGCCTTTATCCTGAATTGCCCAGTTGGGCTTCATTCTTTGGGTTATTTGATTTGGGCTGCACTTTTAGCGTGTCAACAGTTTCAAATAGTTCCTGGGACTTCTGTGTGTGGTTGAGTTTGAGCCAATTGTAGAAAGAAGTCCAGAGGTTTTTGTACAGTGGCTTTGGCTCGAAATTGTGATTTTCTTAATAATCATTAGCCCATGAGAATACAAGTTTTGCAGAGTCCTTTTTATAAAGTTAAGTCGAGAGGAAATCATTTAGTGTCTGCATCGCTATAACCAGTAGATGCAGAGAGATTATGAAGATCTTTCAACGTCTTGAGGTGATATAAAGAGGGTATAGCATTACGCAACAGTGGATGCAGAGAGATTCTGAGTAGGGGGGATTTGTTTAAAAAGCCTAGTCAACAATAATATTTGGTAAAATAGGCTATGTCAATACTTTTTGGTTAATTAGCCTTTAGTCTACTTTATAATGTGTTAAAAGTCTTAAACACCCTTCATTTGAAATATCTAAAATATCCCATTTGAAACAAAAATTTACCAAATTGCCCAAATTTAATACCCATTTTTATTCTGACTTTTCCTACACAATTTAAACCAACAAGTAAAATGACATACTGCCTTTTAAACGATTGAATACCATTTTAACTAATATCATGTTTGTATCACTTTATATTTCTTTGTATCCACATAAAAATTAATTAAAACAAGTTTTAACTATATTTCAAATGTTATTGAGTGTCCGTGATCCAAAACGACATGCTGTCATTATAAACCACTAGATGACGTTTTATCTAAAGTAAATAATTTTTCACTAATTTATAGTGAAATCGAGACCCCATAATCCAAAATGTCATACTGCTGTTTTAAATGATTAGGTATCGTTTCAAATAATTTCGTATCTGTCTGACTTTATTTTCACTCGTATGCACATGACAATGAATGGGTGGGAGTTTTCATTACATTTGGACACGAGTAACGATACAAATTCACATGACAATGATCAATACTATTGTTCCATGGATAAAGTGAATTAGATATAACTACGAACGAAAGTAAGTAAGTTAATTTCGATTATATTCTAATTATGAGATAAGATATTCAATAAATTGCCTCGTTTAACTTGTACAAGTCTTTTAAGATGTTCCAAGTCTAATCGACTCGTTTTGTAGTGAAATCAAGGCCTCGTCATCCAAAATAACATGATATGTTTAAAAGGCTAAATAATTTAAATTCCAATTAAGAGATAAAATACTCCACAAAATATCTCGTTTAAATTGCTTAAGTCTTATATGATGTTCCAAGACATGATCGATCGTTTTGAAGTGAAATCGAGACCCTATAATCCAAAATGTCATGATGTCGTTTTAAATGATTGAGTGTTGTTTCTACTAATTTCGCAACCGCTTCACTTTATTTTCACTTCTATGTACATGAAAATAAACGAATGGAAGATTTCATTATATTTGTCCGGAGTATCGACATAAAGTTCACGCAATAATGACCAACGCTATTGTTCCATGAGTAAACTGTATTAGATTTAACCATGAAGAAAAGTAAGTAAATTTCATTATATTCTAATCATGAGATAAGATATTCAACAAGTTGGCTCATTTAACTTGTATAAGTTGTCTAAAATGTTCCAAGTCTTATCGACTCGTTTTAGAGTGAAATCATGACACGTGACTCAAAACGACATGATATCAATGAAAAGTTAGGTGTCGTTTCAACTGTTTTTGTATTCATTTCACTTTATGTTCACTCGTATCCTTATAAAATGAATAAATGCAACTGTTTACTACATTTGAATATCGAGAACCCTAATCTAAAACGCTACTGTTTTAAATGATTGGGTGTTATTTCAACTAATTTCATATCCGTTTCACTTTATTTTCACTCGTATGCATATGACAATAAGCGAATGGAAGTTTTCATTACATTTGGACATGGGTATCGATATAAAGTTCACATGATATGACCAACAATATTATTTCATAGGAAAATTACAATAGACTTTACTGCGAATGAAGATAAGGAACTCCAATTTCGTTATATTTATTAGAGTTAAAATACTCAATAAATTAGTTTGTTTAGCTTGTAAAAGTCTTTGTTTTGAATTATTTACGTTCATAACCACTTCAAAG